TCGTTGATGCAGGACTTCACTGTCCCTTCGAACTTGGAAGCAGACTGCAGGCCATCCACTCGACACTCAAGTTCTTCTCCGCGTGGTATTGTGCACGATTTGATTGGCTCCGCTCCGGAAACTGTCACCTCGTAGCGGCCGATTCCTGTGGCGTCTGTCGGTGACTTGAAACGAACGGCAATCGATGTGTTGGAACTCGGCACCACCGCCACGTCAGCTGGTGCTGTTGAAATGGTACACAGAACAAGCATGACTCCCATGCTATTAAGTGACTGCTCCCAAAACTGCATTCAACGTGAAGCGATGTTGCGAGCACGTGGACATCGACCACTGCATTCCCATTTGTCCTCTAGTGGCCACATTTTATATATTCCAAAGCAGATTTCATAAGATTAACACCAATTTCATTATTGTAATAGTACGAAAAACAGTACTAAAAAGATACAGGCACCATCAAGGATCCGACCATTTTGTTCCTCAACTCGAACCATCCTGAGGTTGCTAATAAACGATTCAGTTTAAGAAGGGTAAATTTGACAAAAGAGACGTTGAATTAGGGGGCAGTGCAAACTTGCCGTTTGGCTTCGTCCAGTTGAACGACTCCACTGAATCACTGCATACCTGACCTGCTGTAATCCAGGAACATGCCATCAACGTGTAATTAATTCCACCGGACAACCCGCTAACTGTGCATTCCCAAGGTCCAGTTTTGGCATCTGCTTCACAGAACCTGGTCGGGTTGGTGTCCTTCACGCTAATTCTGTACTTGTCAAAATTAGGCGTGTCGCTAAGAGGTATAACGGTCGCCTTGATTGCGGAGTTTGAAATTGTGGTCGCTGTAACGCCCTTGGGAGCTGCAAGCAAAAATGGCTGGATGTAACGAAAGGACCACGTTTGTGGAGTTAGAGAAAAGAATAGAGTAGAAATCGACTAAAACTCCAGTTTCATTCAAACTCCAAATAGCCGATCGCTGTCACGTCAATCCAAACTCATTCTGCTACCTAATGTGTCGTTAACTACGTTCCAAAACACCAAATTAAATACACTTTTTTGACGTTCAATTACACGTACCAACCTCAAGGTGGCATAGCACTCGAAAACATTCTGCACTTTGTAAATTTCAGTTGGTAATTGCATAGCAGCAAATAAAATCAACTAGACTATGTGAATTAGCGAGACACATCCAAACATCGAACAATTCAGTCGTTACTCACGATGAGGCTTCGTCCATCCAGAACTTGTCACAAATTCACTGCACACAGCCGGATGTGCGTCGTTAATGCAGGAGCTCACTGTCACACCGTACTCAGTGGCAGATTGCAGATCGTCCACTCGACACTCGAGCTTGTCCCCTTGTGGAACTATGCATGATTTGATTGGCTCCACTCCGACAACTGTCACCTCGTAACGACCGATCCCTGTGGCATCTGTCGGTGCCCTGATGCCGACAACCACTGATGTGGTAGATTCCGGCGTCACCGTCACGCTAGCTGGTGCTGATGAAACAATTCCAAAAATCATCATTATATTGAAACAATTCGTGGAAATTGTGTCCCCAAACAGTGTTAATTAGAAATGACACATGAAGATTGATCACCGCCCAGCCTTAGATTTCAAACTCTGCTTTGCGTCTTGATGTTAACATTTCCTAAGCACATGGTATCGCCAGGAGCAACATTTGAATAATTGTTTGATTTACGTACACCTCGCCTATTTTGACTTACGCTTCAGTTGCAGTCATTCTGAACTGTAGCTTTTGTTTTAACGTTGGTTTACTATAGTGTCCAAGCACTCTTCATGACTCTTGACCTGTTTTGCCCTGATCGTCATGGTTTGTGATACCTTTATCCCTCAGCCAAAAAAATCCACTCAGATAAACGGTACCAGATCCTTTGTCTGACGCTAGAACCGACCTTCTAGCGCTAGTGCACGACGAGACCAGAGCGCGTGCAGAGAGCGTTATTCGCCTCAACCAAAGGCCGGGTGATCTGTCATAAGGTGGACACTTATACAAGTCAAGAGTGACCTTGACCTGACGAATGAAAACACAACAATGCTAATCATAAACGCTGACAATCTAATTCGACACAGACACAATGCCTGTGCCAACGTATTAATTGGCGACAGCGAAAGGGACTCTACAGCGATATCAAAAACATGAGGGGCTCACCACTTCGATTGAACGATCGCGATGAAATATTGTAATATCGGAATTCCCTAGTTTAGTCCATAACTCCGAGGTCTGTTGCAGATCTACTCTAATCTAGGAAGCCATGTAGGAAATACGCTATTTTCGTCACGCATAATTAACCTCTACCGCAGTAGCTAAACAAACTTATCCGATAACACGTTAAGGGAACTAGGAAAATTAAGATGTTTATTATTATTTGCTTTGTGTATCATGTAAAACAAGCAGTTAATCGCTGCCTAGTTTGCAGACAGTCCAAAGCATATTCTGTGACAGTAGTCGCTAGTGATATGGATCACAAATGATGACATACAAATTAAAATTCTGAAGTAAAAAGAAACGTCCTGTCTAACATTATCTGGAAACCGAATCCAACGAGAAAAAGCATTCATTTGTGCAGGCTTAAAATTAAATTAGAGTCTAAAATTACTAAGGTAATAGCCACTAACTGACTGTATTACTACAATTTGTCTAATAGAGATATCCGCATTATCAGTCTAATGGAATCCAAACCAAACGGGATTTGTGGACCAGTTGTGTAATACGCTTTAGGAAAAGCATCATGAAAGACATCCAGATTACATGAAAACCAATCGTGCAAAAACTTTAGGTTGAAAACGGATAGTGGATTCGCGAAGAGACAATTACCAACACTGGTACTAGTGCTTTACCCTAGTAAGGCAACAGTGAATCGTTAATAACAACTTATTAAAAGTGAACTGACATAAGTTCGTGGAAACTCATGACGCAGCGAGTGCATCATGTAAGTCAGACAGTAAATTTCGCGCTACTTCTGTAGATCCAAGACAATTTATTAGAGATGGTGCTTTTCCGAAGCCAGATTAAGCAACTCGTCAAGTGGCCACAGTGGTACAGCTGCCAATGTGGGAACAATGTGGTTAATAGGTACATTCAACACTAATCCCCACAACACTGTGTCTGTTGGCTTTTTAAGTTGAATCAATTTTACAAGACAATATGGTACGTCAAATGGTAGCAGCCCCACTCAAGTTTTAGCAAACACGGGACAGATCATGTGGCAAGTAAAAGTCAATTAGATGTTGTGAAACTAGAAACGCTTGTAATAAGACGTTGGGAATTGAGGTGAGAGCCAAAAAATTGCAAGCAAAGGATTCAAGTATAACTAAAGACAAGCCAATTACAAGCTCAACGTACGTGTCGGTTTTGTCCATCCTGACGCCGTCACGTTCTCACTGCACACAGCCGGATCCACGCCATTGACGCAAGCACTCACTGTCACCGTATACCCAGTCGCCGATTGCAGACCTTCCACGCGACACTCGAGCTCATTCCCTTGTGGAATTGTGCATGATTTGATTAGCTCCACTCCGACAACCGTCACCTCGTAACGCCCAATTCCTGCAGGATCTGCAGGTGCCTTGACGCTGACGTCCATGGATGTGTTAGAACTCGGCGTCACCGTCACGCTAGCTGGAGCTGATGAAAGAACGAGGGGAACCGCAGTAGTTCCAAAGCTACATCCATTTATGGTATTTAAAATTATCTCATTTTGGAACAACTCCATGAACACTTGGCCAGGCACCATGGCGCAACCTCTAACCACATTCCTACATTGGTATTTGTTTTAATCTCATCCAAAATACTCTTACTAACCTTTGTAAATGTGCGTGTTTTTGGTTTTAAGACGATCAGGCAAAAGTATGCACATTTAACACCAATTGATAGCAGTCGACCTAGTTTGAAACCTAAAGAAATGCCACGTTTGAATTGCGGTGTAGAAATGCGCAAGTCTATCACAAAACAGCAGAACGACACCATCACTCATCACGATAAATCAAAATTCCAGTCGAACAATTCTTCGCAGCCATTCAAACATTACATATTCCTTGTGCTGTCTGGTTAAGAGCTGATGTGCTACATTAACCTCATTGGCGCATTCAACCGATTAACTAACAGCAACATTGGCAACTGCGACAAAATGCAAAACGTCTTCACCACATTAACGTATTCTATGGTACTTTGAGTTAACACGGAGCACATAAGATGTAATGATACGCATCCACATGCGTCTATCAATCATTTGAACATGGCTAGCTGTGGCTAAGAATGCAATTTAAACTTACCATTCGGCTTTGTCCAACCAAACGACTCCACGGAATCACTGCAAATCTGACCAGCCGCATTCCACGAGCACGCCACCACCGTGTATTTGGTCCCGGCTGACAGACCTTCAAATGTGCATTCCAGTGGTTCAGTTTTGGCATCGACTACGCAGGACTTGGTTTTGTCATTGTCCTTGACGGTGATTTTGTACTGGTCGATGTGTGACGAATCGTCTAGAGGCTGCACTGTCGCCTTGATGGAAGAGGTTGAAATTGTGACCACATTAACGCCCTTGGGAGCTGCAAACACAAACATTCGCATTCCACTTGAGGAACAAACAGGTCACTTTGGAAAGTGCAAGAATGTGGGGTATCATACACATCTGAAGTCTAGTAATTTTGATACCAACTCAGCCCTCACATTTCACATCATAAAATCATCACCTGTTCAGATAGACTCAACAAGTCAAATTGATGCATCCACACTCGACTCGCATATCTTGAATGTCCGCAGGCAACCAGTTACAAATTCACTGAGGTTTCGTTAAACCGATATCCTACATTTCCGAATTATAAGTGGTTTAAAGGTACAGGAAAGCGGAAATGGGAAGATCATTAAACGTCTCACCCACAGTGATCTCCGTCCTAGTTACCGTCATTCTAAAATTCAACATTAACATAATCGCTCGTTCATCAAACTTGTTTCTGATCATGCACTATTTCCTTATTTTATCACGGTTCATCGACATACAATTCCCTAGATCCGTCTCTTAATTGACTTCACATTTATTTGCATATTCGTTACATACCGTAAGTCACAAAGCAACACATTTTTTGTGGCGACAATATATTATCCACTGCTTAACGCTACAATTGCAATGCCTTTCGCATTTCAAATTTCCAATCTTGGGAATGTGTGCAGAAGCAGACACAACATTTGCCCTTTTTGGTGACTGCAAATGTTCACTTTACTTCTCAACTAAGCCTGCATCGCGATAGTGTTTCGTTAAGATTATGATGATTAGAAAGCGTTAGTGCAGGAGTCTTCTCTCAAATTAGAGGGACAAACACAGAAGTAAATCTAAAAAGGGCAAATCAACAATGAAATATTTTGAAATTTGGTATTTTATGCAGAGTTTGTGCAATGTCACGATCAACTGAACCGCAATTATTTGATCGCATCGCTGTTGCTTAGAATAATTCAGTCAGTTAACCAAGGGTCTGTTGCTAATTACACTCACAATGGAATATTCAATTCAACACCAACAAGGCAAAAATAAATATTAGAAAAAGCCGAAAATGCCACACATTTGACTTTAACTGACTGATAAACAGCAACAGCCACCAGCAGCTATTTGTCCATACTAGACTTCAAGTCGAATTCTTATACGTGTCTTTGGAAATAAAAATTTTGTCTGGAAGCATTTGAGATGCGCAAATATGCGCCCCAATCATTTTGGTTCATACAAACTGGCTAAGCAGGCAATGCAAACTTGCCACTTGGCTTCGTCCAACCAAACGACTCCACGGAATCACTGCAAACCTGACCAGCCGCATTCCACGAACATGCCACCACCGTGTATCTGGTCCATGCCGAAAGGCCGTCAAATGTGCATTCCATTGGTCCACTTTTGACATCGACTACACAGGACTTGGTTTCGTCGTTGCCCTTGACGTTCATGTTGTACTGGTCGATGTTAAACGGATCGTCTGGAGGCTGCACTGTCGCTTTGATTGAAGAGGTTGAAATTGTGACTACATTTACGCCCTTGGGAGCTGCAAACATAAACATTAGTATTTGATTACTGAAACGAACACGTGCAAATATGTTGGGTTGTATACACATATGAGTTCCACTAATTCTGATACTCCAATAAGACTTCGGATTTCACAATGAATAAAATATGAGTGCCACTAATTTTGATAATCAGCGCGACAAACGCTTTTCGTGGGATGAAACTAATGCCTGGTTCAAATTAGCAAAGATTCAAATCTCCGCATAAATTTACTATGGTAACATCATTGTCCCTGTAGCTTCTGAGCTCAAAATCCACTGCACGCCAAATGAACCAGTCAGAGGTACGTTGAAAGCACAAAATTGTCACTGTCGTAAAAAAGTGTAGTAATTTTTAACGGTCCACGCAACTGGATTGCCTAGAGCAATTTA